CCTGGATTGGTGGCTCTTCTGCCCACGCTGGCCCAGCCCAGCACCAGCTCCGCTCCTGGGTTAAAAGAAAAAAACAACTTGTGAAAAATCAGATTTGAAAGCATCTTGGTGGAAACTGGTCTGTACGTGGAGGTCCCTCCATGTAGTTCATGCAATGGTGCCCAGAGGACCCTTTTGGGACCACTCTGACTTAAGCAAGTCAAAACTCATTTAAAGGAAATGATAATGTTTCAACAGTTACTTTTGTCCCTAATTAGACAAACCCATCAATGCCTCATGCTCTGCATGGAGCACGACGGCTGGAGGCACTCCAGCAAGTGGCAGCATCTCCTCTCAGCAGCTTCCAAGCGAAGCTGATGCTTAGCGTGCTCATTAACGAAGGAGAGCAAAATATTTCTGCAAAACACAAAGTTCCTGTAGCAAACTTGACTTTCTGTGGGAGCTGAATTTCTGCTGGAAAACTGTTACAGCAGAAAATTCCCCATCAGCTGTAAATTGTGGTATTGATTTGGGCTGTAAAATGCTCAATTTCAGAGTTGTGAGGTTCAACTGAAAATTCTGAGTGTGAAACAGGAGCAGCACTAATCAGGCAGCCAGATGCAAAGTCACAGGTAGAGACACGGAGCGTGCTGGCTGCAGGACAGCCCGTACTCCAACAGCAGCGACTTGCTCAAGGGCTTACAGGACAGAGCAACCATGGCCACATGGCTGCGGACCCCGCTGGCACGTCTCGCCAAGCAAGGAAGCTGTTCCCAAACAATTTGATTTGAAATAATATTTCTGTGCTCTGTTCCAGAGCCCCAGCGAAGCGAGAGGCTGCTTTTGGCTTTGCTGTAGGCGATACGAGGCATTGGGAGCCCTGGGTTGGTGTCCCTCTGCCTGGGATCTCAAGCAGATCACTTAGTCTGTCTGTGCCTCGGTTTCCCCAACTGCAAGCTGAGGGTTACACTCGTGTTTGGGAGGAAAAGAGCAGGTTCTCGGGACACGGGGATGCTGGTCTGCAGGCTGCCCCCGGGCAGGAGGTGCCGGCAGGACGCAGCCCCTCTCCGCTGCGATGTGGGATGCCACTAGCTGCCGACTCCTCATGGCCGAGCTGGCCTGGCCCCACCGGGCGCCGGTTTCATTAGGGGACCCGCTCACGTCCCAGGGACCTTTCCCACGTTGGGCCTGTCACACTGAATTACCGCTCCGCTTCTCAGCACTGCGCTCAATAGTCCGAGCCAGCTCCAAACAAAGTCCTTCTCCTCCCCGCTAATCCCCCTCGACTCAGGTAATTAATAAAACAAAGCGGCTGCTCTTCCCCGCCAGCAGCGAGGAGCGGGAGTGGGTCCAGGGTCTATTAACGGCTCCTGGCTGCAGGCTCCCCAACGGCCGAGGGGCTACGACAAGCCTGGGAGGAGGGGAGGGGGCCAGGGCAGAGCATCCTTGGCTGCCGAATTCACCCCGTGGGGTCGAAGATGCTGGCTGCTGTAGAGGAGCAACACAAGGGCTGGTCCTGCCAGGAGGACAGTTGCGCTGCTGCCCCTTCAGCTGGTCCTTCCAAGCCAGGGCATATTTCCAAACAGCTCCCTGGGATTTTTTTGGAGATGGTCAGCGGGACCAGCAAGGCCTCGCGCACCCCCAGTTGTTTCAAGGGACTATTTGTGGCTTCCCAGCATCACAGTCCTGCCAGCATCTTTCCGAGCACTCATGTGTCCAACCCCCCAAGTCGCCTGGCACCCGTTGCCAACCTCCACCCCGGCCACACTACGCTGCATCCCCTAACGACCACATCCCGCTCTCCCAATTAGCAGAGACATCCTCTGGTGACAGAAGCCTCCGAAGCCCAGCGAGGACTGAGTTTTGCCAGGTCAGTCTGGCTCTGAAGACACCCAGGCAGAGCTGTCAGTGGCTCAGTGGAGAGCGTGCAGCGCGGGGAAAGCGCAGGCAGCAGGCGCAGGGATCGGTGCTGGGTGGAAAACAAAGACCCTGCTGGAAAGAAGCTGGTCTTTTCATGTGTTTTAAGCACAATTCAAGTACCAAGCCCCCTTCAGACAAAAGGCTTGCAATCTGAGCTGAGCACAGAAATCCAATCCCAAGGGCGAAGAGAGAACCTGGCCTTGCTTAATTCAACGCCCCAGCACTTTACTTGTCATTCTTTAAGGGGGAGATGGGCTTGACACACCTCAGTTTTGTTCCTTGCTTGCTCTTCAGGGTTTGCAGTACAGGGGGGAATCACCTGCAAAAAGCCTCCAGCCATTTGTCTCTCCTGAGCCCCTGCCCCCATCTGGTTTCTGAAGCAGAGGAGCCAGGCAGGAAAAGTTTGAAATTTCAAGTGAAAATCTTCTGTTCCAGAGTGGGAAGAACGCAGCCCAGAGCTGTGCAATGCAGCAGCCTGGGGGAAACCCCAAATCAGCAGAGGTCCTTGGGCTTGTGACCTGGCTCTGAACCTCTTCTCTATGCAAAAACCAGCGTTTCAGTTTCTCGGCAGGGGACAGAGCATCAGCGTTTTTCCTGTGCTGAGACCAGGGCCAGGAGACTACGCAGACCTGTATTTTTCTCATCTGTTTTGCAGGGCAGACTGGTTCCTTCTGGACAGCCGGACGGTTCGCCACACTGCCATTGGCTTGTTCTGCTGTGGGGTCTCAGTCTACCTAACAGGCAAGTGCTCATTTCCCACCAGCACAGCCCAGTAGGGACCATGCGTTTTCAGCCCAGACCATACATCTTGCACTGGTTGCTGAGTGCTTGTGAGCTGCTGAGTTTCTACTTCAGCATCAGGTTTGTTTTGCAAATGACTTTGCCACTCATTCCTGTAGTGCTAACTTTCTGTTCTCAGTGACCAGCCCTCACGAGGGCTCCTCTGGCCTGAATTTTGCAGGTCAAATGCGTCGCTTTAGTCCTTCTGGTTCCTCAAGACGTTCTGCACTCTCCTCTCCTTCCAGCTCTTGCCATCTACATGCTGCTGCTGTTTGAACTGGAGGCCGGCATTGCCAGTGCTTGTATTCTCTCCTCCGGCATCATCGTCCTGCTGATCACGGTGACGCACGCCTTGGTACGGGCTTCCCAGGTTTCACGCCGCACCCGCTCTGAGGTCTCTCACACCCTGTATGAGAACGACTCTGCCCAGCACGGTGAATCCTCCACCAGCGATTTGAACAACAAAAACGTGGCTACGCCCCGGCCCCGGCCCGAGATCCACCGGGAATTTTCCTTCCCTCCTTTCCTGGAGCGCAAATCCCAGCTGGGCTCTCCAGCCAGCAGCAACCTCACCTCCTCGGGTAGCCCTGGGCTTCGCTCCGAGAAGGAGAGCTACAACCTGCCCCGAACGCACAGGACGCTGTCGGCAGAGTCAGGCCTGCTGCAGGCACAGAGCAAGCCCTGGAACGGCGTCACGCAGGAGATGAGGAACGTCCTGTCACGCAAACCTGGAGCCTCGGGCAAGGACTCGACTCTGGTGTGAGTGGAAACGGGACCTTTTCTCCCCGTCTCGTCCCAGGGGAGCTGCAGGCACCAGGGCCGAGATTTGCATCTCTATTTAGAGCTTAAAATAGGTCATATCTCACCAGAGCAGGGGGATGGCTGCTTTTCCACCCTCTGCCCTCCTGCCTGGGGGTTTGTGCAGCCACTGCCTCACGCTCTTTGCTTCTTGTACTGAGAAGATGCCACCTCCACTCAAAGCCAAAAGCCCTCGGCTGCCTGCCTTGAGCCCCCAGCCGCTCCTGCCACCTGTGACACTGCTGGCACTTGCCACCCCATGAACCAGGACCGCGTTGACAGGGCAGCAGCTGGCAGTGACCCGTGCAGGACCCCCACAGCTGTCCCAACGGCAGCGAAGGAAGCGGAACACGTGGGTGAGAAGAAGCAAGCGGACCTTGTCCATGAGCAGACCTACCCTCTTTCTCCAGCAGATTCCAGCTGATCTCTCCAGCTGTCTGTACCACCCTGCTCTTCCCCTGCCTCCTTCCTCCCTCCTCCATCCCCAGGAGCCAGCACTACACCGAGACAGTTCATACAACTGACCCAGCATGCCTTCCTCACAGCATGTAGCCAGGCAGGTGTAAGAAACCGAGGGAGGCGATGGAGGAGCTACAAGCGAGATGGAGCCAGAGCAGTCTGCAAGCTGCAGAGGGTGGGTTTGGGGTGGCAGAGAGCCTGCTGCTTGCTCACCAGCACGTCCACCCTCTGAGCAGGACACAGCTAGCTAAGCAGGGTCTTAGCAGGGAAAGGGGCTGTGCTGGGGCAGCCCCAGGGCCCTGGCTTTGCTCAGTGGTAGAGGAACCTCTCTGGGGATTCCTTGGGTGCCACCAGAAGAGTGCCAATTGTTGAGGCTGAGGTCCAGGAAGGGGTTTGCATCGGCACTGCCAGTCTTCTGCTGTATGCAGGGCAGAAAGCGCAAGTACTAAAGGCAGCAGCTGTTTCTGTGAAACACAAGCAGGTTTAGCTCACTCTGTCCTTGTGCCGACAAACACCTTGCTGGTTACTCGCAGCCCCGTTCTCTGTCAACCCTGTCCAGGCCCAGAGCAGCAGCACACTTGGTTCTTCCCCAATTCCTTATCATTCAGCAACCAGTAAAGCATTTCAGGGAGTGAAGGGAGGCCACCGATCCAGATTCCCTCTCACCTCCCGTGCTATTATCCTGAAAGACACCTGTTATCCTAAGCACAGTGCAATTTCTTTGGAAACTGAGCTTCGCACTGCTTTGATCCCTGCATCCTTGGTAAATTCTTCAGCAGAACAGAACTGCTGGTTCCAGGAGAGATTAACACTGAAGTTGCATCCTTTTTAAAGTGACCTCCAAAGCTGTGCGTACAGCTCTGTTTCCCACTGCTTGACAGGGGATGAAGAAAGTCCTTTTTTTTGTTGTTTTTTTGAAGAACAGGACAGTTTCTTTTTTCACTTGAAAGGCTCCAACTCTGCATGTCTTTGTTTTGCTCCATGCCCTTTGAAACACACAGAGCCAGCAGGCTCCAAGACCCCCCAGCCCGAGGCGAGCAACAGGGGAAGGTTTTAGACAGAACTTTCTTGTTTTTCCTTTTTATTATTGTTCTCACTAAAACCAAATTCAGCAACTCCCTGGCACACACATAAAAAGCTCTCCTTGCAGAATGCCTCCTGAACAAAGCTGAAGTGTGCCTACATTACATCTTTACACAGTCATCTACAAAATACTGAAAGCAAGACCTAGTTTTTCTGAGATATTTCTGTGGCCAAGAGGTAGAGAGAAAAATGCCTCATAGCAGTGTGCCATCAAAAAGAACTGGAAAGGACAAATGCAGAACCACCCAATTTCTCTTTTGCAGAGTGCTGTGGAAAGGGACAACTGCTCCCCAAAGCAACCCCCAAAGGCAGTCCTGACCCCAGTGGCAGGATTTGCCTGCTCAGGTGCAGCACCTTGTTACTGGGAACGGAGAGGCAGGCAGAGGCCTCTGTGCAGCTTCACAGATTGAGCAGATGGTTTCTCACTCCTCCCCATGGCTGAAGAACATAGAGCTGGGCTGGAGAAGGCAGCAGAGGACGGCCAGTCTTGTCAGAAATCAGGAACTGGCTGGAGGATTCTTGGCTTGTGGGGCAACAGTGCTGTAAAAAGAAAGAGACAGTCACGTCCATCAGGCAGGCAGGACACCAGCAGCCGTAAGAATGTGAAGAACCAGGGGCTCCCTTAAATAAAATCTCACTGCTTGCAGCACGAATGCAGCTTAGACAAGAACACCTTTCAGCGTGCTGCGCAGACTATGGAACAGCACACACCAGCCCCTGGGGGGCGTCAAGACAGCAATCTTCACAGCCACACCACCGCAAAAAACACTAAAAATGCTGCACAGAGTGTGACACTGCTATGGGGGCAACTGGGAAAATACAGAACCTGAACCAGAAGTGTCTATGGCAGAGTCATTCTGCAGAGACAGAGGCTCTCAGTTCGCTGTGGTAGTTTTATCAGGGATGAGCATTTGGGAATTTTCTCACTCCTACCCAGACTCCAATACTAACACTGTTCTCAGGAGAGACAAACACACTAGACTCAGACGATCTGCTGGAAGATATTTTAGTAGCTGTAGTTCAGCTGCAAACATACAAAAATGTATCATCGTTCTGCTACCACTTGTCTCTGTGGGACTCTGCCCCAAAAGAGCCACATACATGAGAGATCAGCACCAAATGCAGCCTCTCACCTACTCCATCTCAGTAGCATTATCTTACTCCAAATGCCTTTGACACAAGAAAGATTTAATGTATTACACAACCAAACATCCTTTTTTAAATAAGGAAATAAATTATTTTCCAGTTACCCTTTGGTAAACAAGATTATTTCCTTCCCAGTAAAGAAAGCCAGAAGATCACTGGAAGGCAAGCAGCATGCTCTTTCAAATAATAGTCTAGAATCATATTACCGAGACAACTGCTTGGCGTATTTGCACTGGGCTGCATTACATCACCAAAGCCTCTGCGAGCCAGAACGGTCACTCAGATAAATAGGCAGTGTCACATCCCCTTGCTACCTGCGGCCCTGAGCAGCATTCAGCTGATCCTTCATGGCTATGGCGTGTTTGAGCAGGCTGTCAATGCTCTTGAAGTACACGCTGCTGTCAGTCATGTTCTTTATGGCACTGAAAGAAGAGAGAGGGGTGGAGGGAGAGGGAGGACTGGTTAGTATTTCCAAAGGCTTCGTGGTTTTAGAGCACACACGCCCTGACAGAAAGGACTGTTAATAAGGAAGCTCAAGTTTATGCATCTTCACACATACTAGCTAGCTGGTGCGTGGATTTACTGCAGGACAGCAGCAGGTCTGCACTGCACACAGAACCGGGGAAGAGCCGACACACTTATCAAAGTGAAGCCCCTGAGATTCATGGTAACGGTTCAGAGAGCACTGCCTCGCACCCTCACACCCCCACCCTGACTAAGCTCTCTCCCTGACTTACACCAGGGAGGCGTCAGGGAAGCGCAGGCAGCCTCTGCTTTGTTTCTATCACAACACCTCCGCCTGCGAACACAACCCTCCTGCTTGGAGGAGTATCTTGTACCTGCAGGCATACTCCACTGTGTAGATGGCTCCTTGGCTTTGCTCCTCCCAGCTCTGCATGTCGGACTGAAAGAGAAGAGAAAAGAAGGCGGCATCATTAGGCATGCACTGGACAGATGCAGCAGCGCAGCCCACAGCAATACGCTCTGCCAGCCCTGCCCAAACAAGGGCTCTGGCTGCTTTTCACTGGAAATTGCATTTGGATTCCGTCTCCCGCTTGACAGCCTGTGACGCACTCCGGGCTCCGGGTGCCACGCACTAGCATTTAAAAGAAACATTTATTTTGTGTATTTCTGGAAAGGCTACTAGTTCAGGCCAACACTTTGGATACTCTGGCAAAATTCCCCTTGTTTTTAGATGTTTTAGGCCACGAGTCAGCCGAGAGCCACGGTCAGTCAGGCTGCTAGCAACCAGTGACTGCGCCGAGTGCAACAGACCAGCTGGATGTTTCAGAGTACTCGGATCTGCCAGTGTGTCTGGCCCAGCAGGCAGCCAGGATCTGAACTAACACAGCTCCTGCAGAGTTCGTTCCTTAGTCCTTCATGCAAAACCAGGTAAAAGTTTCTTTCACAGCATGGAAAGTTCTCGTTTCATTAGACCTGCCATTCATAAACATTTTTGCAGCCGCAAGCATCCCTGTCCTCCAGCCTGCTCTGGCATCTGATCCCAAGGAGCAGTCAGCACTGTGCCCTTCCTTTCACGAGCTGGAAGGAGCACTGTAAACTCCACACAAACTCAAGCAGCACTGCATGCAGCCAGTTCTGGCATGGGACATAATTGTACGCTGTAGCTCCAAGGAAAGGGAAAACCAAACAAATACACAAATCACAATGAAAGCGCAGCTGAATTCAGAGGTGTAGCTCAATAGAAAACTCTTTCAAAAGTCCTTAAGTAGTTTGGGCACTCTTTAAAATATATTCTCATGGGAGCTAATTTTCCAGTCTATTCTGCTGGGTCTTGTTACAAGCCAGAGGAAAGGGGCTCTTTCTGTGAGTGAAGGAGGTCGGGTAGGAGCTTGGACGGCATCCAAAATCACTTCTGCTGTTCAAAGCCTCCCCTACATCAGGACACTTGACCACATAGCTTTAAACTACAAAAGAAACAAGCCTCTACATGCAATGCTCTAGGCAGTTCTCTGCAGGAGAGGGTCCTTCGACCCAGGACTCACAACCCCGCAGAGACTGAGCTCATCCCAGAGTCCAATCGTGTTTTACACAACTGTATCTGTTGCTGGGAACAAGCTTCGCATGCAGAGGCAGCTGCAAAAGATGCAGAAACTTGCCTGCAGCTCCTCACTCCGCTCTCTCCAAGAGGTGCCAGATGATCTTTAACAATGATTTAGGCCCCGACATGGCACTGACTCAGTCGTATGTGTCACAGCCACTTGCCTGTGGTCCTGCTGTTTCTGAGCACCAGTAGATTTTAATCATTTCCCAGTATCAGAGCCAGTGATGTCTGTTCCCAGCATTCCCACCACTTCCTGGGATTTTCATGTCCTTAATTAGGAACAAGAGCCCTTCCCTAGAGCTCCTCACTTCTTAATCTTTTCTTGATGTCCTTTCTTGAAATTCCCAGGACATGCCCTTGGATGCAGTTTAAGAACTAAAACCAGCTATTAATATACAATAGCACTAATGATATATTACTGTTGCTTGGAAGTAAATTAATGAGGAGATGTAAGTTCTCAAAAGACCAGGCGAAATCCAGAAAGGCTGCTCTGGGTGGAGCGGGGCTTAGCAGCGCAGCTACAACGCGCAGAGGCAGTGAGGGCCTTGCATCACGCTGTATCTTATCTGGGAGGTGGTAAATCTGCTTGGAGAGTTTGAGATGGTGAGGAAGGTATTAAGATTATTGTTTTATCAAATCATACAAAGTTGCTTGTTGTAGAGGCATGGAGGTGACCTTCTCCTTGCAGAAACTTTTCTCCCAGCTCCCTCCCTCCCAATTTTTCCTAGGTTTAATCCCCTTGGAATTTCAAAGGCTGCATCTCAGGAGAACTCAGCCAGCCAGAGATGGAGCTGCTGCATGGCTGAAGGAAAGTGGAAAACGCCAATAAATCCTGTCTCCATTATACATTACTTACATCTTGGGACTAATTTACCTGAAAACAGATCCACACAGAATGTTTCTTTTTCTTCTCTTCTGTTCTGAAGAATTAAAACCACCTCACTTTAATGCCTTTGCTCTGATTTAGATAAAATCTGACAGCGTTTTCATGGTGCACAGCCTGCTGACACCCTCCTGTTCCAGTCTCTAGCCACAAAGCCGATGGGCTCTGGCAGAGCCACCCAAAATATCCATCCCCATCTAACTGAATGCTCTGCTGTGACGATGGCCCTGTCAGGGCCCTGAGCACACCCCTCTCTCCCAGGGTTTGGCTGTCTGGGCTCAAGGGCTTGACAGGCCCAGCCTGTGCACTGCAAACAGGAAGGCCTGAAACTGGGATAAAATGAGAGTGGGATCAAGAACAGTGGAAAAAACCTGGCCACAAGCCCACTACCGGCAGCCTGGCAGCACAGTCAGGACACTGGCCTAATGGAGTTATGTTTAAGTCTCTCAGTTCCTACCAGGGACTGGTTACCAGCAGGGAGGAGAGCATGTTCCCAAACATGATGCTGCAGCCTTGGAACAAAATGAACTCAGGAGCTGACAAGGCTGGAGGAAAAGTCACTAGCAGCAGCTCTGGATCTGCTGTTGTTCCAGCTGCCACAAATAATTTTCTTTCCATTTTCTCCTAGCTCTTGCCACATCAGTGCACCATTAAACACACAGTCACTAACCAGAAAGGCAGTTAAGAAGCTGGAAGTGCCCAAGCAGTGGGCAAAAAGAAATGGACGTAAACAGCAGCACTTCTGAGCAAGCATCAGGAAACGTTTTTGAACACTAAAGAGGCAAACAGGTACTGGGGTGGCACTGGGGCAGTGCCCTGGGGCAAAGGGCACTGCATGGTCGGTTCAGCTTTGTCCTGACTTGCACCATTACTGCAGGGAGCACAGAGAACTCTTCCTCGTGTACAAAGGCCACCACTGCCCCAACTGGGGCTAGTGGCCAGGGCAGGAGGGAGGTTGCAAGGCTGAACATGAAAGCATCAAAGACCAAATGTATTTGATGCTTGTGATGGCTGCAGTCACAGGGGGGACGCAGGGTCCTTGTATTTGTTGCTGGCATCCACAGGACAGCGTGACCTCCTTTCTCATAGGAACAAAGTGGAAAACAGCAGCAATTTTGGCTACAAAAGAGAATTCTCTTGGATGGCTGCAGCTAGGAAATGAACTTAGATGAGCCAGAGAGGTCACAGAACACTGCGGGTAACCATGATGAGCATGCCGAGCAGGGAAAATGAGAGAATCAAAGGTTTTCAGAGATCTTGCCCAGCATAAACCCTGCTGCCTAACAACATGCTCTGTGTCCAGTGCCTTCGCTCAGCTGTCACTTCCATTAGCGCTTCCGCACTGCCCCTCGCTCTCATCCCTGTTATGCACTGTTCAGTGATGGAAACTGATCTCTTCCCTCTGCATGACTTGTCATACAATTTGCTCAATTTCCTTTTGTTCAGGACACATTCCCTGAAACTGGGACTATCTTGATTAAATGAAAGCAAGTGACAGCTCAGGAATAATATTACAAACCTGCCTCCTGCATGCCAGTGATGCAATCGCATCAGCATGTGCTATACATACATATACATCTCTATATGCCTACCATTGCACACAGACACGTATATAAAACGTTAATAAATAATTGAATAATAAAGTGTCACAATCCAGGTTAATTTGGAAACCAGGGCTGTAAAGCAAAGGTGAAAAATGGGGCCTGACAGTGCATTAGCATAGACATGAAGCAGTAATCTATTCATGAGACATCACTCCTAATGAATCATGACTGGCAGAAGAGGGAGAAGGACAACAAGGCCGGCATTAAAGTGTCTGTGCTCCGTGCTCTGGAGGAAAGTAGGAACACAGCTGTGAGATGCGATTCATTATCCTGCTTTCCCTCATGCGGGCTCTTCGCACTTGTTTCTTCACGCTCCCCCTTCCCTCCTCTCACCCTCCCCTTTATTTTATGTAGGAAATAAAAATCTCGCAGCATAGGCAGGGGGAATAAGATTTAACATCTCCCTCCTTCTTGTACAAAAGAGACTACTCATTTTTCTTTGTCTCCACATGAGTCCAGCCGTATGAGCATGGGGTTGGGGTCGGACTCTCCAGCTTTTTTCCTCAGGTCCGCAGGTAAATTTGCAACATCCCCTCATCCCCTCCAGTTCAGACCGAGCCGGGGTGCCGCAGCACCTTGCACCCCGATAGCCAATTTCCTCCCTCCTTCCCGCTCCCCCCTCCCAGGGAGGTGAAACAGGGATGACGTGCCAAGTCAGGAAAACATTTTGTGCCCAACTGTGTCACAGCTCTGGAGTCCAAAGCAAAGCACGACTCACCTTGTGCTGTGCAAGCTCTGGAAGGGATCTCCGCACGTGCTCCTGCAGCCGGTACAGTGCCACGGAGGGCTCGTTGGCCAGGACGTACATGCTCTCTGTGAATTTGTCCGTAACTGCAACAAGAAAAACAACAGAGTTATGGAAAACAGGGAGCAACAGAGGTGAAGGCGGGATTGGAAAGGCTGCCCTGGAGCGCTGGTCCCGTCCCCAACACAGCTATGAAGAGACCAGAGCAAAATCCCACATATTTTTTTATAACTAGTCTGTTGAGAAGGATGTGAAAGCAAAATCCCACTAAACAGGCAGTTCTGTTTCCACTCTCCCCATAACAGCATCTGCAGCCAGCGATGAGCTTGCCTCCAGCCACAGACAGACCAGCCCGAGATGTCACCACCTCCACGGTCCCCTACGAGCTCTGGTTGTTCTGGTTTCAGGGACCACTTGGGTTATGCCCATCATTGGGCCCTTTCTGACCAGCTTGGAGTGGGCCAGGAGATGAGCAGAGCCCAGCAGAGGCCTGGCTCCCATTCCTGTGCCTGCAGCCACCCCATCCACCTGGGAATGCCGGCATCTCCCGGTCTGGAGGTTCCCTGTCTCTGTACCAGCTGTTCGGGTTTGTCTCTGCTCAGAGCCCCGAGCTCTCCTGCATGTCAGCCACCCTCCGCTGCAGGGTCCTTCTGTTCCTCCCCTCCAGACACTTCCCCCAGGTGACATCCTAAAAATGTCCCTGAAGGAGACACAGTGGCTGCAGACCAGGGCTCAGGAAGCTTTGGTGCCGTTCCAAGCTGCCTGCTGAGCTGCTTCCCCTCCCTCCAGCCCTCTCATCCTGGCCCAACCTCCATCCGGACTACCCTCCACACAGGAACACCTTTTCAGCTGGTGGTTTGCACAGCTACATCACAGCTCTGATCTCTCTTTCCCTCCAGGTTTGCAAGGAGAACAGTGACAGCTCTTAATAATTAAGAGACACAAAAATCAGAGATGGTTTCATTGTTCATAGTGGGGGGCTGAATCAGGGAGCGTTTTCACCAGGCTGAAGCGGAGCACCTTTCAGCTTCTGCATAATTTTCTATTTTAAGGATAAGGATTCTCTCTTCCTCCTTTCAGAGCTTTTGTTTCAGTGACAGCTGCTCACATACCCCAGTTCTGTAACATCGGCAGACACGCCGAGCCTTCAGAATGCAAATGGGAATGAATGCAAAACTTCACAGGAATAATTATACCCACCTGGGACAGACACAGCTGCTGTCCGTCTGTCCTGACACGAGTAATTCCACAGACCCTCGCAGTGGGGCAGGTAAAGAGCGGACGTGTCAGGAGAGGAGGACACAGGGCAGCTCCCCACAGCAAGGCCAGGGTCCGAGGGGCCGGGGGGACCCACAGGGGCTCCACCAGTCCCGAACTGTCGGGGCAGGTCGTCCCCTGCCCCGTCACGACCTCCAGTTCCCCATCGTGACTAACCTCGCGGTGCCTTTCCGGGCCCTGCTGTCACTGCGGTGCCCTGCCACCACCCACCCTGTCGCAACTCGCCCCGCCGCCGTCGTACCTTTCTCTCTCACGACCCGCAGGGCCTCTGTCGCGACTCCTGCTGTCGCCGCAGGGCCCTGTCGCGCCCGCGCCCTGTCACGACACCCGGCGTCCTGTCGCCACCGGCCAATTCAGACCCTCAGAGCCCTGCGGCGACCGATCCCGCGGCTGCCGGCCCCCACCGAGCCGCCGTTCGCCCGACCACCCCCGCCGGCCCCGGCCCAGCTCCCACCTTTCTTCACCTTCAGCTGCATCTCGGGCTCCTCCATCCCGCCCCACCGCCTCTTCCGCTTCCGCCGGCGCCGGCCAAAACCGCCCCGGCTGGAAACAGCGGCGGCGCCTCACCCCGCTGCGCAAACGGTCCCGGCTGGAAACATCGCCCCAACGCCACCGTTCCGCCTCAGCCCCCCCCCAGCCCCGGCTGAGTGTTCCAGG